TCCCATGTAAACTATCACATAATTCACAATAAAACATTAAAAAAAAAATCCAAACCCTTCACCATAGACTTCAAGCCCTCTTGACCTGGCCCCTGCCATCTTTCCTGCTTTGTCCTCTATGACTCTTCTTCGTACATACCATTACCCAGTCACCTAGATTCTGTGGCTTACCATCAGACCCCTCTCCCACCCAAGGCTTTCTCTGACCTTAAAACTCTTCCATGTAGCCCTGGAAGCTCAGCGGTTTAAGTGCTCAGCTATCAACCACAAGGTTGGCTGTTTAAACCCACCCAGCTGGTCTTCAGGAGGAAGTCCAGGCAATTTTCTTTTGTAAAGATCACAGCTTGGAAGACTAGAAAATTGTGAGTAGTAGCAGTTCTATTCTGTCACATGGGGTCACTGTAAGTGAAAATCAACTCGAAGGCACCAAACAACAGCAGCAACAAGGCATTTCCCCTCACTGTCCCCCTCTGTCTATGATGCCTTCCCAGTTCTTTCACAGTTCCATCCTTCACATCATTCTGGTCTCTGCTTAAAGATCTCTTCTGCAGTAAGAACTGATTATGTCATCCCTCTCATCCTTCCACCTTCCCCTCAATGCGTTGCTTGCTTTATGTTTCTTCATAGATTATGACCCTCTGAAATGATTTCACTATTTGCTCATTCATTTGCTTTTGTTTATTTCTTACTAGACTCCATTTACCTTTAGAACAGGAGCATTTCTATCTTGTTCACAGCTTTATCCCCAGTGCCTAGACCAATATCTGGTGCTTACAGAGTGTTCAATACATATTTGTGGATGTATGAATGAATGATGGGACCATTAAACTAAACCATGGGAAACTGGAAAAACTTATAAGAAACAAACGATAATGAATTTATCTTTGTCTTGATGGCACATGATCTGCCATAGAACATTCTAACCCTTCTCTCTTCACTTCTCCAGGCAGCTTGAAATCCACTCTCCAGATACTAAGCATACAGTCATCCTAAGAAGTAAGGACTCAGCCACAGCTCAGGCCTGGTTCAGTGCCATTCATTCCAACGTCAGTGACCTGCTAACTCGAGTGATTGCTGAGATCAGACAGCAACTGGGGAAAACTGGCATTGCTGGGAGTCGAGAGATCAGGCATCTTGGCTGGCTTGCAGAAAAGGTAAGGAAATCCTCTCCCTCTGTAATAGTCATTTCTCCCAGAGATCCCCCAGAGCTTTGGCAAACCACTGAAGTCATTTGCCTCCTGCCGTACGTAAACTGATGCTCTCATTCGGTCATCCTCTTCCATCTCCCAGGGATCCCCCAGAGCTTGGGGAAACCACTGAAGTCATTTGCCTTGTTCCGTACGTAGACTGATGCTCTCATTCAGTCATCTTCTTCCATCTGTCACAGGCCACATGTAGGACTTTGTCTTAATCAACTTTGGTTCCCCACTATCTGCCAAAAATGTTGCAAAGTGCAGGTGCTCACTAATGGTTTGTTGAGAGGATGAAGAGTTTGATTCTCACATTGATGTCCGTTCAAACCAAAACCCACTGCCACTGACTTTGTTCCTACTTATAGCAACTCTATAGGATCAACTGCTACAGGTAGTGTTCACCACATTTCTGCCCTTCTACTGACTACAAATCAGGCTGCAAACCTTAAGGTCAGCAGTTCGAAACAACCAGCTGTTCCACAAGAGAAAGATGAGGCTTTCTGCTCCCGTAAAGATTTACAGCCTTGGAAACCCTGTACAGGGTCACTATGAGTCAGAACCGACTCCACGGCATATAACCACCACCACCACCACTGACTAAGCATCCTGGT